AGTTCGCCCGTTGTACCTGGCTGCGTGCTGTGACGCGTCGGGCGACCTCAAGTACCACGGCGCCGTCGAGTACGACATCCCCAAGTGCATTCCCGACGAGAACCCGGGGTGCACGCACACGCTGTCGACGCGCCAGCACATTGGTCGCGCCGGCGGTGCCTTTGGCTTTGGCGCCGACTACGACGAAAACGACGACGCGGACGTTGAAGTCGTATACGTGGTGGGTCACCAGCACCGCGGCGGCCTCGGCATCCAGCTATTTGACGACGAGACAGACGAGTTGCTGTGCAATTCGTACCCCACATACGGCTCTGGCACCGTCGCTGGCAACGAGTCGGGGTACGTCATTGCCATGAGCACATGCACGTTCGACCCGCCGCGCCGCATGCGGAGCTCGGCCATCGTGCGCATCGTGTCTACGTACAACTCGACGGTGGGCCACACGGGCGTGATGAGTCTCTTGTACATTGCCCTGGCCGACGCCAAACCTTCGTCCGACCTGACTGTCCAAAGCCAAGCCGTTGTCGAGTCGGCCGGGGGCAGCGCGTGGGTTCTAGGCGGAGGCATTGCGGTGGCCGTGGCGGTTGTGGCCGGCATCGTCTTTGCAGTGTACCAGCGCCAGGCGGCGCGCGCCGGCTACGACAAGGTGACAGAGGCCACCCCCGTGACGAATTAAGTAAAATTTTTTGCGTCAATGCAAGCCATTTGGTATTTGTTGGCGATTGTGTGAAGCAGGCCATCGGGTGGCCATCCTCCATTCACAGTCAAACCATTGACGCATATGACTGTCTAGCATGCGAAGCCGTGCCCTGCTGTGTGCCGCGCCTTTGAAGTTGCTTCCTCGAACAACTAGAGAAGCGTCGTGTGGACGCATGGAAGCGAGCAAACTTGCGTCGGGCCACCGCTGCTTGTCCGCTAACAGCATTGCGTGCTGGCTCATGGCGTGTCTTCGCTTATCGAAACAACGACGTTCGTTCTAATGGCATGTTGCGACGTTCCTCGAGCTTCCGTGGCTGGAATCATTGAAGGTTCCCGCGAACCCACCAAATTTTCAACTTGCTTCGTCTACCCAAAGGGTGGCTTGCATCCCAAATCACGACGTAAGGGATCA